CCCAACCCCAACCCTGCCTCCCAGGAGTTCCAAATGCCTTTGGCAAGAGTCTGGCGCCTGTGGATTCCTGTCCCTCGTGCATGGGGGAGTGAGCATAGGGTCCCCTCCCACTCTGAAGAACAAATGTCCGGAGACATCCTAATGTCATCAGTCTCTGGACAGAAGTGGTTGTAGCTTTGCCAGAAGACATTAGGACTGACCTTTCTAAGCAGCCACATGCTGAGCCAAGTGCCCTGTTCTCCTGGCACAACTGTCATCACTACTTCCTCTCCTGGCTGCAAGCATGTCCTCTTCAGTTTGCAGGTGGAAAGCACAGGGTTCAAGGAGGGTTTCTGTCACTGTAGGCAGCCAACATCCCACAATACTGCTTTTGTGAGATTAAGACTTTTCACATCTGATGGCCATACTGTGTTTCTTGGACATCCTAGCTGCTGTAGACTTTGGACTAGACCTCTCAGGACAGGGGACGCCATCTGAAGCTTTTAGTGACTGGCACCCAGGGTGGTCCCAGTGTGTTAGGTCATGTGGGTATCCTCGGGGGCTGGTGGTGTTTTTGTCCCCTCAACTGCATCCTGCTGCCATTCCCTCCTCACTGGCACGGTAGCTCATTCCTGTTGTCCTGCTCTTGTCTTTCTCTCCTCTACCAGGAAGCAGCTCTCTAACAGTTCAAAGAGTAGGGTCCATGTGGAGGGATTCGTCCCTGTACCATGAACTCTGCAATGTCCACCGACCCAGAGGCTACACTGGCCTGGCTGTCTATAAACTAGAGCTCTCCACTGTCCACAGGAAGTGCTGTTTGTGTGGAAATTCTCAAGTTCAAATCAACCTACTTCCCTCAGATAGATGCATGCGTCACCATGGAAACAAAGCTCTGTCAGTGTGGAGTTTTTAGGCCAGGTTAATTGATGTAGGCAGTCTGACTTTATGTGGACAGCATAGATAGTGTGGAAAGGAGAAATCAGGTTGGGCATCCATGTCTCTCTACTTCCTCATTGTTGATGTGATCAACCACGACGAGTTCCTGCACCAGGCCTCCCCCGCCATGATGGACTGCATCCCTTCAAACTGTAAGCACAAAGTCACTCCTGCTCTGGGATTTTGTCACTAGTCCACTGATACCTTACACGAGTGATTTTAGCATCTGCAAAAACCTGGGATTAATCC